GCCTCTGGACTAGAAAGTGCTTTATAATAGGCTCTCTCATTGGAAAAGAGTGTAAGGACACTCTTATAAACCCTGAAGAGAAGGTCCTTCTCTTCTTCACAACTGACACAGAGTTGTCAGTAATTGCCAGAGGAGCAGAATATAATCAAACTTATACATTTGCAATAACTCTCTTGCAAAGTTCCATGTCCTTAGTGTCATAGTTTACAGCTGTCACTTCCATTCTTGAATACATTTCAAGAGATTCAACAGCTATACTATAGTTCATAGCACCTGGAATGTTAACCCAAAGGTCAATGTTCTACTTGATAGACTGTGAGAGCTAACATATTTGTTTGAGTGTGTCTCTGTACCTGTACATTATAAATGTTATAAGTGAATGTAATAGTATGTAAAAACAACAAGATGACTCACTTGATTTGCTTTGAATGGCCAGATTTTGTTACAAGGCTCCTCTCCTCAAGTGTTTACTGTTTTGAAGGTGGCAGGACACTTGGCAGAGAAGGAACCTCACTTGGGTCAAGGCTTGGTACTCATCCTTGGTTGAGAGGGGGTAGGGAGGACAACCTGAGTTTGTATAGGTGAAAACAAACTGGCATATTGAGTAACTTGAGAGGAAGATGGATTGAGACAAGAGAACAAGGACTGAGAGTGCTAGAGATAGTATGAGGGTAAGTCAGCAAAGTCCAGCAAGTTATTAAAAGTGATTCAAGGAATAGTACTAACTAGGATACTACTAACAAGTAGTAATATTAATACTTTCTGTGTCAAAGATAGAAAGAGGATGAAAGGAGTGAGTGAGTGAGGACAAGGAAGTAAGGCAACTGTGACTGAGGGCAAGAGCCTGAGAGTGTTGACAATAAGAGCTCTTGTAGGGGTGGGGGGGAAGGACTTATCCAGCAAAAATATGCTAGGAAAAGTAGGTGTATCCAAAATGAGAGGATTTGATATACCTAAAATAAGAAGTATACAGTCACTTGACTGTCAGTACTCTGCATACACTGCACATAGCCTTACACACATAAAATACTTAGCTCAGACATGTGTAAATTCAGTGTTTCAGCTGTATATTTAGTGACATTCAATAAACATATAAATTGACTAGCTTGAAATTATTAATATTAGTCTGTATCCAAGCCAGGAGTCAAATATTGGCCAAGCTGTTAGGGAACTTCAAGTTAGCTTTATGTACAGAATTGAAGGCATCTTTTATGACATGTAGTAGGCTGTAGCTATAATAATGGACTTTGTACAACTTGAATGTAGAACCTACTTACTATTAAAGTTGACATATGGGTGGATCTGATACTACTCAGTAATCAAGAAAATGCTTACCATTTTCCTTCTAGTCTAGTAGTGCTTCTCAATTTACTTGTACTAAGATACTTGCACTTCAGTATGGAGGACAGTACTATTGTTGTAGGACTGTAGTGTACCTTAATACTTACTATATAGAGTATATGTCTGTACAAGTCTTAGGAAGAGGTCTGACCCACTTCTCAGACTTGTACTGAGAGTAGAAAATGATGATTGCTCACTTAAAGCAAATGTAAATTATTAAAAAGACAGAGATGAACCATACAAAGTAATAAACAATGTCTAGTAGTGTTACAAATAGTGATTACTATGATTTGCACAGCTTGTACAAGTCTTCTTACTGCTTTCCAGGGTACTCTCAGGCTGGCACAGTCTCAGACTTGTGTCACAACCTGTGTGTAAGGTAGTAAGGGAAGTAAATTGAGAAGGGCTGATATGAGCTTCAATATTCTTCTATAGTTTGCTACATAGGCACATATACTGTCACAGCAAGCATATCTGTAAATTATACTACTGTGAGGGAGTACTAACAGTAGTAGTACATATTACTACATCTAAATCTCAGTCCCAGTCAGTAAAGATCACTAATATTGATCTATCTTGTTGTGAACCTCTACACATTAGATACTAGCAAAGCAGACATTCAAAGACATATGTCAGACTAGACTGTACTTCTCTAACTCTTTAAGATGCCTTCCTTTGTTTGTAAGGCTTGTAGTAAGGTCTTTAAGAAGAAGAATGTATGAGCAATCCATTATAATTATTGTGTTGATACAAGTAGTGGTCTGAACTCTCTAAAATGCATTAGAGAGTCAAATAACAAAGTGAAAAAGAGAATGAGGTTAGGTACATGTAATAGTATCTTGATTCTTAGGCAATGCTCACCATTTTGTGTAGCTGAGACCCAGGCATTCACAGTAGAGGATAATACTCAGACTGTTCTAGCCCTATTTGATGAGCCTCTTGAGTTTCCTGAAGGAACTAAATGCAAGAAACAACTACCAAAGCAATTTACAGATCTCCTACCATCTACTTCAAACTTGTCTGTACTTCCTACTGTATCTCTTCCACACCTTCTTGAGTTCATACTATCTTAGCTTCCTTCTCTACTGTCTTGAGTCCCCTCTCTGACTCAAGCAACTCTAGAAATCATGTAAGGAACAAGAAGGAGGCTCTTTTTGTCTGAGCCAAACAAATACAAGTTGCTTTGAGAGTACCTGGATTTGCCAGATGACTTCCCTGACAAGATGCTCAACCTTGAGGACTTATGTGACTTACCTGGACTTTCTACAGGTGATGCTCTGACTCAAACGTCCTCACTCCCTGAACTTATTACTAATAAATATGTACTGTTCAATAATGCAGCAACTTACCTTTTAACAAGCTGGGCAAATTGCAAAGTGAAAGAAAAGACAAATAACAAGCTGGATGTCCTTGTGTACAAAGTCTTACTTCATCCAGACTTCAAGCTATTAGACTTAGTAGACTACAGAGCAAGGTGGGAGAATTCACACATTGACAGTCTACACTACAATAATGATTCCCCTGAGTCTTCCCATTCTGATGACTGGTACAAAGGATTGGTTAAGATTAAGCTACCTCCTAAAGACAACAAGAAGTAGCCTGGGGGCAAAGAAAGAGCTCCTGAATTCAAAGTCAGGGGAATACACTACTGGCCCTTACTAACAACAATCTTCAAAGCCTTAGACAACCCTTATTCTCCTCCTTTTCATTATATGCCTTACAGGGAGCTTTGGAGACTAACAGTATGTGTAGTATTAGAGCTGTATAGCAAACTTTCTGCTGACCCTTAATTATCTCTCCTCTTCCTTAAGCATGACTCCCCTCCTGAACACATTTATAGTGAACTATATTGCTCAGATTATTGGTTGGAAGCCCACAAAGAAGTACAAAGCTTTCCAACACAAGACAGTGCTGAAAACTTTGTACTTCCTCTTATTCTCTATTCAGACTCAACACATCTTGCAAATTTTGGTTCTGTATCACTTTAGCTAATATACATGTACTTTGGAGGCCAATCTAAGTACATGTGTTGTAAATCTTTACAGACAGCTTGCTATCATCTAGCATATATTCCTTTGGTGAGTACATTCCTTCTATATTTCTACTGTTCTTTGTGATACATGACCTAACATACAGTATTTACATTGATAAAGCTCCTAGCATCAGTTCAAGATACATATAATGAGGTTTATAGACAATCTACATCTTCAGAACTCCTCACTCACTTAAAGTGCAAACTATTTCAAGCTGTCTTGTCCCATATCCTCTTACAGCCTGAAATTCTCAAGGTATACAGCTCTGGTATTCTATTTGACTGCTTGGATGGAAAATTACACAGACTCTTCCCAAGGTTTGCTTTTTACTCAGCAGACTACCCTGAGAAGTATGTCTTGTATCTATTTACTATCTTCTTGTTTGTATATACTACAATCTTCACCTCAATTTACACAAGGATAACTGAACATTGCTACAGGATACTCATTACTAGCTTGTGTGTTTTAGGCAAATTCTCAAGCCCTACAGATATTACACCAACCAAATTCAACCATATGCTTGGTACCAGAGCCAATCAACAAAGACAAACTTACAAACGTATTAATGATACAGTACAGTAAGAGAAGATTTCTAGGGCACAACAGTGGATTTTTCAATTAGGGAAGCCTGTAGAATCCACCTGGATAAAAAATCTCCTTAAGGATGGATCCCTCATACTAGTTAATGTAAGTGAACTGTTGCTATCCAGGCAATGCTCCTTATTACTCACTTATCTTATTTTTATAGAATGCTTTTTCCATGCTTTGCAAGCACAGATTCAATTTCTTTGACTTATTTGTCCTAGACCCTATGTATGAATTTGAGCTGGGGGTCTGGAAAGCAATATTTACCCACCTCTTGCACATTCTTTTTGTACAGGGAGGAGAGAGCATACTAATGCTTAATAGGAGGTAAGCATCTATGTTACAGCCTCATCAATTGCCTTGCTGTCGTCTATTTAGATATATTCATTATATTTTAGGTATCACCATACTCCTACATTCAGAATGGATACAATCTGGCGATTTTCCAGAAATATGTCTGTAATGAAAAACATTGCAGCTAGAGACTTCAAAGATATTCTACAGGTAAGTGCCTCCCTCAAGACTATTGATATATATGTACTACAATAGGATGTGTATTACCTAGTGTGCCATACTGGCCTTTGAGGATTTACTGCTAAAGAAATATAATAAAGTGGTCCTTGACCTTTTATTCATCTTGGCAACCTAGCATGCACTTGCAAAGCTCTGCATTCATACAGAGACTACAGTTTGGTTCCTTGAGGAGACAACAACATTGCTGGGATACCAGGTACAATGCTTCAAGAAGACTGTATGCTCAGCCTACAATACACACAAACTCCCAAAGGAGATTGCTACTCAAGGATGTTGTCAAGCTGCCCTACTCAATAAGGGTAAGGCAAAGGGACTGGACACAAAAACGATCAGATCTAGTGTGAAAACTAAAACGCTCAACATTAATACACTGAAATTTTATTCTCTTAGTACATATACTTCTGCCATTTGTCAATTTGGTACAACTGATTCATACAGCATGCAAATTGTTAAGTGTCTACTTCACAATACACTCTCCATACTTATCTCAATTGTGTATCTTCACAGGGGGAGTCTCAGCATAGGAGACTCAAACACATGTATGTTAGGACAAACAAGCAAGACACTGTAAAGGCAGTTTCACAACTAGAGGGTAGGACCTGTAAGATACATGAGATTAATTCTTGTATCAGCCTTAATGATAGATCTAGGGATCCTATCAAGTCAAGGGATCTTGAAGTCCATTATAACATGGCAGTATCAAAAAAGGATTCTATCCATCTTTATCAGTGGCTTTCAGATAATGATTCTGACCCAGCTTTACAGGTGAGTACATTATTGGTCTCCTCTTTCTATTTCACATATACAAGCACTGATACATTACACACTTGCTAGAATTTCCTGCCAAGTCTTTGCAGGCACCTGCTTGAACACATTCTCTTGAGACAGGAAGATGAGGCCTTCACCACAGACAAGCTATACAGCCTCCACATAAAAAATGACAAGCTTTTCTGTCTCAAGGTGCTACACATTAATTACACAACCTACAATGTCAGGAGAGCCCAAGATTCACTCAATCCATGGACACATGCTGATATCATGTTGCTATTGGATAACACTGAACATCCCTACATTTACACTCAAATAATCGGACTTTTTCATGCAGAGGTCAGCTATATGGGTCCAGGGGCTGACCCTAACTTCCAAAACTTCAATTGGCTCAATTTTACTTAGGTTCACTAGATGAAAGTTGATGAGAATGGCTTGTTTGTTGAGAGACAACTCTCTCAATTGCAATTCTATTGTCATACAGATCCTAGTGCCTTTGGATTCATTGACCTGGACCTTATTCTTCAAGGTGCTCATCTAATCCTGCAATTCTCCAAGGGTACTGTCCAGACACTCTTGCCTCCATCCCTTGCTTGCTAACCCAAAGATAAGAACAAAGATTACAAATTTTACTTTGTAAATGTGTAAGCATGTTGTTGAGGCTTTCAAACTTGGAACATATTAATGCTGAGTCATTTTTGGTCCAATTTACTACAGATTCGTTGATAGGGACATGTTCATACACTATTGAGGCAGAGGAATCAGACACAAAAGTATGTAGCATTTAAATAGCTACCTACTACATGACATGCTACAAGAACAAAACAATGATGAGATGGATAGTGAAGTATCAGAAGAGGAGGAGAAGACTGATAGTAATGACAAGGATCTTGAAAGTAAAGAACAGAACAATGAGGAAGGTGAATCAGACAGTTATACAGACCTGTAGTGAATATTAGATGCACCATTTACATGTAAGGTAATTTTGTAGTCATACACAGTAAATGACAATCTGTTGATCATCTGTATGACTGTTTTTACTAATTGAATATGGCACTGTGAGTATTCCACTGGGCTGATTCCTTGTTACCATCTTACCAACTTTTGTAGTGAGCAAAATGAATCTTCTTTTAATGGGTGCCATCTATGCCTCCATCTTGGCTCAGTTTGTACTAACTGTAGTGTTCTTCAGAGCAATCCTCAACTTCACCACTATCACACAGTTTCTTACAGTTTACAGGATAGAGAGTGCTACATGTGTTGCTACTGTTTTTATGGATTCTTTCATTACTGTCACCATACTCTATTTGCTGTATCATATGTCCATTAGTAATCTTCAATACACTACTACTGCCTGATTCAAGCATATACAGAATTTGTAAGGTTGTTTAGAGACTCAGAACAATAAGGATGGCCATTAGGTCAAAGTTTGCAAGCAGTACAGCATAACTCAACAGCTTTATCAAGGTCTTCTGGCTGTTCATACTACTTGTATCTCTTACTTTGTTATCTTGCTTACTTTGTTGTCTCTCACAGTACTCTCCAGACACACTTTCACCCAGGCTTGGCTCTGTAACAAGCAGTAATGACTCTTGATTCCCTGTCAATAATCTGCTCAATGTTGACTTTGATAAACTCACTGAGTACCATTCACAGCCTCACACAGCACTCTCCAGACACACTTTCACTTGGACTTGGCTCTGTAATGAGCAGTAACGACTCTCAATCCCCTGTCAATAATCTACTCAACATTGACTTCAATAAACTTGCTGAGTACCATTTGTAGCCTCACACAGTACTCTCCAGACACACTTTCACTCAGACTTGGCTCTGTAACAAGTAGTGACAACTCTCAATCCCCTGTCAATAATTTGCTTAATGTTGACTTCAATAACATGCTTGTGTTCCTTTTGCTTCACAGTTGTACACACACACTCCTGACAACTTGCATTCACAATTACCTTTGGTAAGTCCCTTCCCTCACTTGCATTTGACCTGAAATCTCCAGACTTACTTCTTATCTTACACAGCACTCTCCACACCTGCCCCCCCTCTGTTTTTTGGGCTAATCTGGACACATACAAAACAAAGGACACAAAACATGCATCCTGTAAGGCTAGCACTGATAAAATTCTGGGAGTGCTTAGGGAAGCACTCTCAGATTGTTATAGCTGTATTAAAACAGCTAAAATTGTGTAAGTTCTTATATTTTTTACTTTTTTCTACTACTAACATTATTATTATTATTATTAGGGGTGGTATTCATGAGTCAGGTAATGACAATACCCTACACCTTCTAATAAGATGTTTTGGGAAGAAGAAATTGGTAGGATCTATACACCTGCCTTTTGTTAATAATGTGAGTTTTTTTTACCTTTGTCTTGTCTTTCTTTGCTAATATTATCTTAAGGAATTCAATTTCAAGGGGGCAACTATTGGTTACAAGACAGCTAAAAAAATTGTAATTAAAAAGATCTTGTAATATTTTCTTTTGCTTTGTATTTTATTTACATCTGTTATACTTCTATAACACACACATTACAAACTAGTACTATATATTTATTAAGATTAGAACCCTAAAAATAGAGTTTTTAATTATTATATACATTAATTTGCCTTTTGTATTAATTATCTACTAAAAATAAATATTTTTGCTTAATTATAT